TGTATAGAGGAGGCGTCTGTCCCCACCGCGTTCTCCCGCGGAGTGTTTCTGGGAATCGGCGTCATGACGGTCCTCTCCCTCTGCATCATCCTGGCCATGTGAGTGGGAGCAGGAGCGCCGGGGCCTGGGGCTGGGGAAGGGCAGGGGTAACAGCGGGGTCAGGCCAGGGTCGCTTCCCGCAGCGTGAAGACTCTGAGGAAGGCGCCGCCCCAGGCAGGCGCGAGGCCCAAGGTGTCCCGCGGCAGCACCATCCTGGAGTACATCAACGTGGTCCCCAAGGCCGGGCGCCGGGTGAGTGGCCACGTTGCTGCCCGTCGTTTCTATCTCTGGTCAGGCGTCCCCCTCTTGTCCTGCCCACGTTCTTCCCTGCCCTGCCCCCGCCGTTGCCTTGTAGACTTCAGGGTGGACAAAGAATCAAGTGTGGAGTTCAAATTCACCTGGCCAGCCTTCATTTCTGTGGCTTGTTCCTTGCACTCCACAGCAACACCCCTTTCACAGCATCTCCACCCTGATGCCTGGTGGGCATCTCACACCTAGCCTGCCCCAAACCATCTTCTGACCACTCTCCATATTGCCTCCCCCTCTGTCCCCACCTTAGCCAACACCACACCTGCCCAGACAAGTCCAAAGCCCCAGAACCATCTTCCACGACTCTCTGCACTCCCCACAACCAACCGGGCAGCAAATCCCCTCAACACACACCCACACCGCTCCCCCCCACACTGCTGCAGCCCATGCACTGACTCCTTCCCCAGCCACCACAGCCACTGTCTGCAGGCCCACTCCTCGCACTCTGCCTCACCCCATGACATCCTGCAAGCAGTATGCCCATCCCACAGAATACCACTCAGCACCCAGAGGAACTTGCTTCTGAAGCACGCAACAAGTTGGACAGGTCTTAGGGACAAAAAAAAAATTGTGAAAAAGGCCAGTCTCATTCAATATTCATCCCATTGTCAAATTGATGAGATTACAGAGGTGGAGAACAGGGGAGCAATAGGGTGGGCCCTGAGCAGGACTTGGAAGGACAGCAAGAGGAGCGCGCTGGTAACGTGCAGTCCTGGGTCTCCACTGCAGTGGTCCCGCGGGCCTACCTGTGTGTACTAGTCTGTGGAGCTGCCGTAACAAAGAACCCGGGAACAGGCAGCTTAAACAACACAAGTCTGTTCTGTCACACTTCTGGCGGTTGGAAGTCCCTGATAAATGCAGGCAGGGCTGATTTCTCCTGAGGACCCTCCTCCTTGGCTTGTTCAGCCGTCTCCTCCCTGGGTCTTCCCCTGGTCTTTCCTCCATGTGCTTTTGTGATCCGCAGTCTTATGGCACTAGGGCCCATTCACTCCACCTCATGTTACCTTAATTACCTCTTTAAAGACCCTGTCTCCAAACACAGTCACATTCTTAGATATTAGGAATCAGGCCTTCAGCATATGAACGTGGAGGAGACTCTGCGCAGCCCACAGCACCAGCCAGGCAATACCATCACACAGAACACTCCACACACATTGTACCACAGTCAGCTTCCTCGTCTGGATGCTGCCCCACAAACTCTGCAAGATGTAACCACAGGAAAACCAGGCGAAGGGCCTGTGGGACATCCCTGTGCTATTTTTGAAACTTCCTCTGACTCTATAATATATGATATAAATTTAAATAAATTCATAAATCAAAATATCTCACTTTCCAGCGACTTCCAGCCAGACTTTGAGAAAATCCAAAGACCTCCCCAGGTGTGCAAGGCCCTTGCTGACCTGGCTCCACACCTGTCTCTCCAGACTCACCTGCTTTACCCACGGGGCTTGCTCTTCCTCACACTCAGACGCCACTCTCTGCCCAGCCCTCCAGACCTATCCTTGTTGTCACAAGTGGCAGGGCTCCTCCCCTTTGTGGCCGAGTAAGATCACTGTATCTGCCACGTGTGCTCTACCTGTTCATCCATGCAGGGACTCCCCTTTCTCAGCCCCCGGTGAACACAGCAGGCGTGTCTTTGGGATGGTGCTTCCTCTTCCTGGACACCCTAATAGTGACCCCACCTTCCTTTCCACTGTCTTCCCCCTCTGCTTGAATTTCTCATGGATTCATTATCACACTTTTGCTTGTCTAGTGTTTGTGCTGGCCCCCAAGATGGAATACGGGCTCAGCGGGGCAGGACGCTGCGTCACTCCCAGACCTGACCCCTTCCCCGTCAGCACCTGGCACGAGGTAGGCCTCAGTATTTGTTGCTGTCTTTTCAGGCTCAGGATCGGAAGGCTACACCAAGCAGCCCTTCTCGGACCCCCTCTCCAGGCACTCACTCCCCAGAACCAAAGAAGAATCCAGAGGAGCTGTATTCTATTCCCCTCCATTGCCCAAAGCCCAGATCGTCCACCCAAGCCCTGGACCCCAAGAATGACCCAGAGGAGCTCCACTATGCTACTCTCACCTTCCCGGGCCACAGACCGTGGGCCATCCAGATGCCCAAAGACACCCACACAGATTACCAGGAAATCAAGTTCCACTGAGGGCTGTTGGGCTTTAGGGTTAGGACCTCAACTGGGGAGAAAGGCAGGCAATAAAGAGGCTCAAGGAACAGGGTCCTAAGTCTCTTATTTCAAGAAAATCCTCCCAGATAGGTGGCCCCATCCCAGGCCCAGGCTGTTGGAAACAGCTTAACGAATCTGTCCCCACTGGCCTTCTCTGAATACGGTGTTTAGAGAAGCCAACTGGACGATTCTCATATACATGCAGGACCATCCTGGCTGAGCGCTGCCATCTCACAGACTCTGACCGGTAGGGCCTCTGGAGGTGGCTGCTGTGACTTGGACATGGTTTGAGTGTGTGTCCTTCAAGGGCATGTGCGCTGGATGCTGGGTCTCCAGTGTGGCCCTGTTGAGGGGTGGAACCTGCAGGAGGCGGGGCCCAAGGGAGGGTGGCTAGCCTTGGAAGGGATTGATGCCTACCTCGCAGAGTAGTTTTGCTCTCAAGAGACGAGTTTGCGAGCCCAGCTTTCTCCACTTTCTGGCTTCCTGTCTTGCCACATGACCTGCTTCTCTCACTTCCACCATGGTGCCAGCAGCCATGTTGGGATGTAGCCACAGGGCCTTCACCAAAGCTAAGAGGTGCCCGGGACTCCAAAACATCACATTGTAAGCCAATCACTTATAGCTGTATCCTTCAGTAAAAAATGTATAAGACAGAGAGTATCTTTGTTTGAAGATATCTGAAACTCAAGAGAGGTCAACTTCAACTAGCTTGTGTGAAGCCACACAGGAGCCAAGAGCAGAACCAGGAGTCCAGTTCATGGCTCTGACTCCAAATCCACAGCTTTCCCCGCTGTTTCACTATCTCTCCTGCAGGGGGGGCGCTCCTGAGTGAAAAGCAGCCCAGAGGGCCCCAGGCCAGACACCTCTAAAGTCAACAGGGTCAAGATGCTCAACAGCTGGGAAAGGGTTACAAAAGAAGACATCTAATTTCAAAAATTAACCACTTAGGAGGTGAGAAGAAGCTGGTCGGGGATTCACTGACGTTTCCAAGTTTAGGTAGAGGAATGATGTCAGTCAGTAAACAATCTTTCTCTTGGGTCAGAGCAGAGAATAGCAGATCACGTTCAAAGATAACATCCACTTCAGCCCGATCCTCTCAAACCCAGAGCTATGGGTTTGTGAAAATTTGTATAATAGTGGTTAACATATATTGAGCGCTTATTATCTTCCAAATGCTGCTGTCCAGTGCTTATATTATCCAATTTAATACTTGCAAAAAAAGAAAGTTAAAGGGATTTTTGACCAAAGAACAGGGAAATCTCCCTTTATCTTACCAAGCCCCAACTAATTGATTCTTTTTATTTAAAAAGAAAAAGCAAGAAAAGGGTCAGAACTTTAAGAAACAGGTATTTGTCCAGAATCTATTTTGAAACCTCTTAATTTGTCTACCTAACATAATATTTGATAGACACCAGGATTTTTTTTTAACACTGGTTTCTTAGCAATTACTGAAAAGAGTTTGTTATCTAATTGTTTATCTTTCTAAAGACTCACCACCCACCCTCTCTTAAGGAGGCAGGGAGGCCATAACCCTGGCCAGCCCCACAGACAGAGCTTATCACTGCTTCCTCCCTAGATGAGGTGATCAGACAGCCTTTCTATCTATCAGGTGACTGATAGTCCATGATTGACAGTCATGTGGGCAGTCCTGTGCTCAGCCACACTCCACCTCATCAGAGGCACAAAGAGGCAGGTTCTAATATAAGCAATATATTTACTAATATTAACATTACAAAGAAGTTAATGTGTAAAAATTCTTATGACATAGAACCACAAGAAAATCGAGGAACTCATAATTTTATTCAGTAGTCATAGCTCATTCAAAAAGACTCTCTTAGCCCTTGGTGGTATGGACCTAGAATCCCTGCAACTTGGGAGGTTAAGGCAGGAGGATTCAGGTTTGAGGCTAGCTTCAGCAATTTAGTGATGTCCTAAGAAACTTAGACCCTATCTCAAAATTTAAAAAAAAAAAAAAAAAAAACCAAAAAGGGCTGGAGAAGTAGCTCAGAGGTTCAATCCCCAGTACATTAAAAAAAAAAAAAAAACTTCTTGGTGGTTCCAAGATCTACTAAGGACAGTTTAATAAACCAGTCTGGTTCCCAGGTGAGGAGCTTCACAATGGGTTTTCCAAGAGCTCTTCTGTGCATATATTCTTATTTCTCTGTCTTCCAGGGGAGTGTACTGAGGCGTGAGAGATGACAGGCCATTAGTAAAGTTCATCCTAGAAAATCTGAGCCTAGAGCCCAAGTTCTTAAAGTTGACACTGTATTGGTCTCCTCTGAATTGTTGTCCAGAAAGTTCCTGTTACAGTGGTGTGCTAGACAGGCACAGTGGCACACACGTGTGATCTCAGCAACTTGGGAGGCTCAGGCAGGAAGATCAAAAGTTCAAAGCTAACCTCAGCAAATTAGCAAGGCCCTAAGCAAATTAGCGAGACCATAACCAAATTAGCTACAAGGACTGCAGTTGACCCCCAGAAGCCAGTGCGTGTAGGGTGACAGCATTACAGAAGCATCCTGTGGGGTCACCCCCACAACCACCTCATTTTATAGATGAGGTTAAAGAGGGACAAGGTCTTGCTTAAGGTCATGCAGCTAAACAGCAGACTTGGGGTCTACCTCAGATAGCCCTTCCAGTGGATGATCATTGTAGGCTGAGCAGTTCCCCTTAACTAAGCTTAGAGTCAGGTGGGTGCTAGAGGGTCGTGAGAAAAAGGAGAACAAACCACAAAAAGGATGAGAGATTCTGTTCTCTATCTACTACCGAATCCTGCCATGACAGCAATTTTTGACGTCTGTTTGACCTTGGAAATTACAAGACTGTGTTGCTAGCACAAGTTTGGCCAAGGGTCAGTAACTTCAAAATATGTGTGTGTTAAGCTCCTGACTTATGCAATAACGGCTTGGGACTTGGAGGGAGGGTGGCATTTGGCCAACACTCATGGGGAAAGGCAATGTTGTGTACATGAGGGAAAAAACAATACTAGGCTTGGAGTCAGAACACCCAGCTTGGACTTTGGGAACTACCAGAAACTCTCTTGAACCAATTAATCAAGATCATTAGCTCTAGGAAATATAAGGATAAAAACAGTTCTGCTTCGCTAATCACTGATTGGGTCACACTATGAAAACTTTTTCTCATCCCTTAACAATGTCTTAGACATTATATAACTCCCTAGTCACGTTCTGATTATTAAAACTCTGCCTGAGGCAGGCATAGTGGCACATACCTAAAACACCAATGATTCAGGAGGCTGAGGCAGGAGGACCACAAGTTTGAGGCCACCTCAACAACTTAGCTGGGCCCTGAGCAACTTACCAAAATCCTGTCTGAAAATAAAAAATATAAAGTGCTGGGGATGTGGCTCAGCACTTTATATTTTTTATAAAGCAGCTTTGGGTTCAATTCCCAGTACCAAAAAATAAAATACAACTCAGCCTAATCTTAAATCTTAACCCCTAAATTGAGTTTAAATCCCATCACCTCAACTCTCCTCCTTGTCTGGTGTAGGTTCCAACTGGCACCTGACCCCAGGAGATGACAGGTAGAACTTTGGCTCTAAGATCCTTTTTTGCCATTCCCACTTTATGATCTTGTTTCTCCAAGGTATTAGGGCCCAAAAGAGGGACAACTAATGGGACAAGTGACTTTTAGCCTAACTGGTCACAGCTGTGGTCTCTGATGGCCAAAGCTGTGATCTGTGTCTAAAGCCAGCTGGCCCTCTGCAGGGTGGGTCTCCAAAACTCTGGTTCTCATGGAGCAAAAGCATAAGGACTTGGGCAGACCCAGTGAGGTTTCGTAATTCCTCCATCTTTGGACATGAGAGTAGTGGTCTCCACCTCCTTCCACACCTTCCCCAGTTCTACTGCTGGAAGATGACGCATGGCTTCTTGAGACCTTTTTGGTGAGATTCTCTCTAGAGAGCTGAAGCTTGGTGCCCACTCAACCCGCTATACACTGCCTGTGTCTCCCCCAGATTTTGTGCTGAAAATCTAACCCCTAATGTAGGGGCTAGGTGTGGTGGCACACACCTGTAATCCCATGCTGGGGAGGCTGAGGCAGAAGGATTGCTAGTTGGAGGCCTACTTCATAGCATCTTTAGTGAGCCCTAAGCAACTTAGTGAGAACCTGTCTCAAAAAGGGCTGGAGATGTGGCTCAGTGGTTAAGCACCCCTGAGTTCAATCACCAGTGCTCCTCCCCCCAAAAAATGAAAGAAAAAGAAAATAACCCTAACCCTTAATGAGACAGACTTTGAAGGTAATCAGGTCCTGAGGGTGGAGCCTCCGTGAATGGGATCAGTGTCCTCTTAAAAGAAACCCCAGAGTGCTTTCCCCTTTCACCATGCGAGGTCACAGAAGGCAACATCTGTGACCTAGGAAGTGGGACCACATCATACATTGGACCTGCCTGCATCTTGATTTGGGCTTCCAGCCACCAGCACTAAGAAAGGAATTTCTGTCATTCGTGAGTCACCCAGATGATGGTGTTCTGTCAAATGGCCTGACAACCTCTGAAGCAGGAAAACTTAGCCAACTCCTGGCTCACCCTAGGAGAGCTGAACAGAACATCTGCAACCCTCACGGTGGACCTGGGAAGGCCCGGAAGACCCTCCCCAGTGGAGACTCTGCCCTGCACCAACAGCCTCCAGCTCTAGAGGGCGCCATGGCTACTTCTGTTTCAGACCTCTCTATCTGCCCCCAGCACCTCACCAGCTCCAAACCAGCCATCCTCCTGCACCACCAACGACCTGCAAAGCACAAAGCACCCCACTCCGCCATCTCTCCCAGACCCCATACTCCAACTTTTAGGGACAACTTTGACTTGTCCCTCACTCCCCACTCCAACAATCTCAGCTATTTTTTGTCCTAAATAGCAGGTGGGGCTGCCTCCTCTACCTTCCCTGTGACTATTGATTTTGATATCCACATTCTGCCACTTGGAGTGTGCGTGTGTAAGTGGATGTTAAAAAGCATAGGTGCCCACGCGCCACTGACGGGTTGCTCACTGAGAAAGAGCTTCAGGCTGGGCCTGGTAAATACTCTGTCGTGTTCTCAAATCAACAACACTGAAACAAGTGTTATTAGCTAGCCCCACAGTGAAACTAAAGCTCAGAGAGGCTCAATAACTTGTCCTAGGTGACACAGCTTTTCAGGGGTAAAGTCAGGCTGTGACATCACTCAACATGCCAGTTGAATTTCATGCCCATGATTTTAACACATCCCTGCACTCCCTCTCATTATTGTTGATTTCTAAATTGTCTTGACCTTCCAAACTGACATACAGATTTTTTTTTAAATAGCTAACCAATTGTGATTGTCCCTCTGCTTAAAATTTTCTACAGGCTCCCCACTGCCTAACAGAACACAGTTGAAGCCCCGCTTAACCCTGCATAAGCTGGTCCTATCTACCTTTTGGTCTATGTTTCCATCACTCCTCTGATGAACCTTCAGACATATCATTTCTTCTTGCTTTCTTTTTCTTTGCAGTGCTGGGGACCAGACCCAGGGCCTCATGCATGCTAGGCAAGAGCTCTGCCACTGAGCTACACCCCAATCCCAGACATATAATATTTTTAATTTCCTGAATTTGCACATATTATTTCTTGTGCCTGGAATGACCTTTGTCTGCCTTGGAAATTCCTACATCCTACAAGACCCAGTTCAAATATATTGGCCTAGTCAAAATGAATTTATGGTGCCAGACATCATGGCGCACTCCCATAATACCAGAGATTTGGGAGACGGGATGAAAGGATTAGAAGTTTAAGGCCAGCCTGGGCAACTTAGCAAGACCCTGTCTCAAAGTAAAAAAAAAAAAAAAAAAAAATTAAAAGGGCTAGGGATAAAGCTCAGGACTAGAGTGCTTGCCTAGCACTGGCAAAGCCCTTAGTGGAATTTCCAGTATCAAAAGAGAGAGGGAGAGAGATCATTTATAATGAAAAAAAAAAAAAAATCACAACAGAACATGGTTGCCTGTGAGGCGGGTTGGCAGGAAATGACTGGGGAGAGGGGACTTCCTGGTGACAGCAATGCTCAACATCTTGACAGGAAAGCATTACATGGGGGGGCTCCTCAAATGATGTACACGTGTTGGGAGGTGATTAGTCAGGAAAGCTCCCCGCAGGAATGAGATTGGGACATCTGTAAAAGAGGCCCCAGAACTGCCTAAGCCTGTGCTAGAGAAGGCGAAGGCACCGGGCAACAAACCTTCCCCGACGTGGAATCCACCATCACCTTCCTCGTGGACTTCCGAGCCTCCAGAACCGTGGGAAACACACTTCTGTTTACAAAGGACTCGGCTGATGGCACTTTTGTTATGACCAAAACAACAGAAGCTGACCACCACTCCTCCTCGTGGTCGGAGGCGGCTGGGACTAGACAGAGCGGGGAGGAGGGGGGACAAAGTCCGAAGGTGACCCCTGCATCTTGACGGAGCCGGGAGGGGGGCTGCGAGGTGAGAGCCTCTGGAACGTGGGGAATTCTAGGGAAGAGAGGCCAGGCCTAGGGACGGAGGGGAGGGACAGGATGAAAGGGGACAGTGGCAGAGGACCCCCAAGATGGAGAGGGCCTGTCCAGCTGGGACTCCGGAGGGGTCGGACAAGGGGGAGGTGGAAGAGGAAAAGGAGAGCCGCCGCGGGGTGCCCTGAGCAGCAGGAGGGGCGGGAGCGGCTCTGAGGAATCTGGAGCACCTCTGGAAAGGGAGGTCGAGTCTCGGAAGTTTGAGGGTCTAAGGCCCGTGAAAGGGCAGGGAGAGAAATGAGTTGATCCCAACAGGTGGACTCGGCAAGGGGCCTCCCCGACGACTCATCTCCCTCACGCGTTGGCTAGCAGTCTCCGGGCCGGGCTGGCTCCTCAGGAAGCCGCCGGCCGCGCCCAGAGCCACTGCAGACAAAGGCCTAAGTCATCACGCTTCCAAAAGGCGCGGAAAGATGCTAGCCAATCAGAGGGCGGGGCGGGGCGGGGCTGCCGATCAGAAAGGCAGACCAATCAGGGCGAGGGTGCCGGCCGCGCCTCTGGGCTCGGGGCCGGGACTTGGAAGCGACTCCGCCCAGGACGGCGGGGCGAGGGGAGTTGAGTGACGGAGCTTTCCGGCCAATCAGAGATTAGGGCGTGGCTAGTGCTGCGTACGTAACAAGGGACGGGCGGGGCTGAAAGACAAGCGCTGCTGCGTTTCCCGGCAAATCCACAGCCGGCTCTACCCAACCGCTGGAGTCGGTCTGTCGGCTTTCCGAATTTGCCAATCTTTTTCGGAAGCTGCCTTTTACCGACATTTCCTCAAGTGGCGCGAGGTCCCGCCTCTGCTCTCCTAGCCAGGCAAGCGGACTTTAAAGGGCCAGGTACCGGGTCAGCAAAAATGGACCTCTGGTTCCCAGTAGAGTCGCCCGGGATGACATGAATTGGAGGAGCAAAAAATAGCAGTGCCATTAAGAACCGACTGAGCTTGAACAGCTTGCTTGAGGTCACACACTTGAAGTACCTGAGCGGAGATTCAAGCCCTTATTTCTGAGTCTGAGCCTTGTATAGAAATAAGATGCCTCTTTGGCAAATGAGGTATTGAAATGGATAAAACCCACATTTGAAATCTGGAGATCCGGTTTTCATCAGTTTCCAGGAGAAAGGAAGTCAAGCCTCTTGATAAAAATCCTTCTACTCCAGCCGCTTGGTGTCATCTGTCGTGGGGCTACCCTCCATATCTGGAACTTCTCATCCTTAAAATGGGATGTTGTGAACTTTTCGCTTTAAAAATTCATATTAAAAGGGGCCAGGATGAATACTTAATTATCTTTGATTATCCTTACCCACCCCAGCAGTCCAGCAGCAAGTCCTAATATCCCTTCCTTCAAATACACCTCAAGTCCTTTCGCATCTCCAGATCTCCAGCACCCTCACCCTCCTTGGAACTGCCACCACGTCTCTCCTAGAGAAGAGCAGCGTCTTCCCTAGACTTTCTGATCTCACTTTTGCTCTCCACCAAATCTGTTCTCCAAACTTCAGGAAAAGTGCTCGTAAAACATGTCTGGTGCAGATGCTCACAAACGTAATCTCAGTGACTCAGAAGGCTGTGGCAAGAGAATCAGGAGTTTGAGGCCAGCCTGGGCAATTTATCCAGTCCTCGTCTCAGAATAAAAAAGGCTAGGGCTGGGGATATGGCTCAGTAGTAGAGTGTCTCTGGGTTCAATCCCCAGTACTCAACAACCAAAAAAAAAAAAGCAACCAAATTATATCATACCTCTGCTTACAACTATTCAGTTTTTCAGTATTCTTACAATTTAAAAAAATACAGATGCTGGGGATGTAATTCAATGGTATAGCACTTGTCTAGCATGCATGAAGACCCTGGCTTCAATCCTTAGCATCACAAAAAGAAGAAAAAGGAAAAAACCCCAAATTTTTCATTGCCGCCTACAAGATTCTATATAATCTGGATGCATCTTGTTTCTCCATTGAAAACACGGACTTTAGGTCCAGGTTTCTGAGTTCAAATCCTAGCTGTGCCACATAGGTAACTTTGGGCAGGTTACTTTACCTCTCGGAGATACAGTTTGGTCATCTGGAAATAAGGATTGAGTTTGTGGTATTCATGAAGACAGATCTAACTGACACATAGACCAATGATACAAAATAGAAGACAGAGACAAACCTACATATCTTCAGTCATCTGGTCCTCAACAAACATGTCAAAAACATGGGCTGGGGTTGTGGCTCAGTGGTGGGGCACTTGCCTTGCAAGTGTGAGGTACTGGGTTTGATCCTCAGCAAATCATAAAAATAACTAAAGGTAGTGCGTCCATCTACAACTGAAAAATACATATATTTTTAAAAAGATGTAAAAAACAGACATTGGAAAAAGGACAGCTTTTTAAGGGCTGAGGCTCAGCAGTAGTGCACTTGCCTGGCATTTGTGAAGCACTCGGTTTGATTCTCAGCACCACATATAAATGAATAAAATAGTTGTCTATCAACAACTAAAAAATAAAACTAAAAAAAAATTTAAAAAGCTTTTTAAACAGTGCTGGGACAACTGGTTGTAGAAGAATGAAATTAAATCCTTATTTCTCACCCTGCACAAAAATCAACTCAATGGGTCAAAGGCCTAGGAATTAGGCCAGAAACTATGTAAATGCTAGAAGAAAATGGAAGGTGAACACTCCAGCATATGGGCACAGGCAATGGCTTTCTCAATAGGACTCCTAAAGCTCAGGAAATAATACCAAGAGTTAATAAATGGTATGGTATCAAATTTTAAAAATTCTGCACAGCAAAGGAAACAATTTGGAATGTGAAGAAATAATCTACAGAATGGGAGAAAATCTTTGCTAGTTTCTAGTGACAGAGGATTAATATCTAGAATATATAAAGAACTCAAAAATCTTGACTCCAAAAAGTCAAATAACCCAATTAATAAATGGGCAATTGAATTAGACACTTTTCAAAGGAAGGAATACAAATGGCCAATAAATATATGAAAAAATGTTCAACATCACTAGCAATTAGGGAAATGCAAATCAAAGCTACACTGAGATCTCATCTCACACTAGTCAGAATGGCAGTCATCAAGAATACAAATAATAAATGTGAAGAGGATGTGGAGAAAAAGGAACACAATTACATTGTTGGTGGGATTGTACATTAGTACAACCACTATGGAAATCAGTATGATAGTTCCTCAAAAGACTAGGCTTGGAACCACCATATGACCAAGCTATACCACTCCGTGGTATTTATCGTAAAGAACTGAAGTCATCTTACTACTGTGATACATGCATACCCATGTTTATAGCAGCACAATTCACAGTAGCAAAACTATGGAACCAGCTTAGGTCTCCATCGATGGATGAGTGGATTAAAAAAATGTGGCATAGGGGCTGGGGATGTGGCTCAAGCGGTAGCGCGCTTGCCTGGCATGCGTGCGGCCCGGGTTCGATCCTCAGCACCACATACAAACAAAGATGTGTCCGCCGAGAACTAAAAAAAATAAATAAATGTTAAAATTCTCTCTCTCTCTCTCCTCTTTCACTCTCTCTTTAAAAAAAATGTGGCATATACATTCAATAGAGTTTTATTCAGCCATAAAGAAAAATAAAATTATGGCATTTGCAAGAAAATGGAAGAAACTATAATCCATCATGTTAAAATAAAACTCAGAAGGTTAAGGGTTGTATGTGTGCATGTACGAATATGTAACAAATTCCACTCGTATGTATAACTATGATGCACCAATAAAAGTGGGAAAAATGTGTAAAGATAATTTTAGGTATCAAAAATAAAGACTAAGACATACAAAAAAAGAGATCTCCATTTTATAAAATGACTGACTCAGTACTCTACAAAATTGTTGAGGTTGTGAAAACTAAGACTGTGAAAGGGCAGCAAATCACAGATGTAAAAACTGGTGAGATCTGAAGTGTTGAGTTCACTTAATGTCATGTCTGTTTCTTAGTTGGGATAAATGTACCATGCCAATGAGAGATGATAACATTAGAAGCTGGGTAAGGATTATAGGGGCATTCCATGTTATCTTTGTAACTCTTCTGTAAATATAAAAGCTTTCCAAAATCAAACGTTTATTTTAAAAATTATCATTTCTTCTAGCTCATTCCTTTCCAATCCTGCACCCGCTATCCTTACTCTACCCCCAGAGCTCTGCACCGCTGTTCCTTCCATCAGGAACATCCAATCTCCAGGTCTTCTGGTGCCTTCCCACCATAACATTGCCTAAGGACCTTATCTAAACATCCCTTGCCCTGATTTCACATCTTCAGGTAATGAGTCCTACAGAAAATGAACTATTTAAGTCTTGTCCTTCACCCTCACAAGCATGCAATTTCTTGAGTAGTGGCCACATCTCTTTTGTCCCCAGCTCCCAGCCTGGAGCCCAGCACACAGCAGGAACTGAATAAGTATTTCTTAAATGCATGGAGAGGAGAAGGACGATTACTTCTCAATAAAACACTACCGGGTCAGGGACAAGCAACAAGCCAACGCATTGGATCCAGACTGACATCTGTTCAGACTGTGTTACGGCTTTGCACACGTGGTATCACGGGATATCACGAAAGCTTCACAAGAACCTGGGTGTAACATTAGCCCCAGTTCTCAGGCAAACATTAGGTCTCAGTTCTCGGACTGAGGCAAAGAGAAGAGGAAGACCCTAAAGTCACCAAGTCAGGCTGCACAGAACGGAATCCAGACCCTGGGGCGGCTGAGATTCCCACCATGTAGCTTCCCCTTTGCCCAGGAAGTGTCTAAAGGTCCAGTTTTCCCTGACTATAATGTCCAGGTAGTCCTGAAGGATGTCCTGAGGCCACTTGTAGAAAGAGGCAGAGTGAAGGTGGAAGGACCCCTTGTCCTCTGGGTCTGAGGGAGGAAGGGGCTAGGTCAAAACGTGATGCCAGGGCTGCACCGCTCAGCGCCCCTTGAGCCCCGGCTCTGCGCACTTGGCCAGAGCCCCGCCCTCTTTCTTCCCAGGCCCCGCCCCTCCGTCCCAAGCCCTGGAAGGATCCACGCGAAGTTGATGGAAGAGACTCCCGTGAAGATGGAACAACTAAAGAACGGACCAGCTGGATCCGAGGGGTAAGAGACAAAGACCCCCAAGAAAGAGATAGAGGCCCAGAGAGAAGAGAGGTCAGAGAAAGTGGGAGGGGGTGGGGGCTGAACCGACCCGGAGAGAGTGTCTGGTGGGGCGTTGGGGGCGGGGATCAGGATATCATCACATGGAAACAGAGTCTTAGGGGATTTTGGTGACGATATGGAGCCAGAAACTTAGAAATGGGGAGAGGGCTAGAAAGATATTCGTCCAAGAAATTTCCGAAAAGGAACCAGGAGACTTGAAGGTGCTGGGGCAGCCATAGGGCTGAGAAAAAAGTAAGTGACACGTTTCCTGAGCACGCACCAGACTCAGCCCTTAAACACTCTCCTTTGATGCCGCCAGGGTTCTCTTTTTCCACCCCTTCAGTGCTGGGTATTGAACTCAGGGAGTCTGGCATGCTAGGCAAGTGAGTGCTCTGAGCTACACCCCAGCCTCCACAGCTGTGTTTTGGTATGAAAAGTGTGGGTTCCAATGAGAAATGATTTGCCCAAGATGCACCACAAGGAAGGCAGCTGCGAGTCAGAACTGAGTATTAATGGCACAGCTGCAGGCCGTTCTGCAGGAAACAGGGGGGACAAAGAGAAGGAACTGGAGTGAGGGTGTGAGAAAGTCAGAGGGGGGCTGCTGGTGGAGGTGCAGAGGCTGCCCTGCAGCGACAGGAGGAGGAGTTCAGAGGGGTGAGACCCACTGACCTGTCTTCTTGTCATCCTAGGAACAGCCTGCCCCTCCTGACACCTGGAGCTGAGGGCTGCTCCCCTGTGTCCATCCCAGCCCTGCCACCCTCGCTGGTGGGCACCCCACACCCAGCCCACCTGGGACTCCCGGAGCACCTGGCCTCTGTTACTGTTCCCATCCGCTTGGATGCCCTCTCCTACCTCCTGCACAGTGCCCTGATGGGGGCCTACAGCCTCCAGCAGTCCTTCCCCTCCTGCTGCTGCTCCCCACAGGGGTGCCACACCCAGCCAGGAGTGGCCAAGAGGCCCTTCAGGGGGCGTGGAGGGTGGGATGTTCCCCGCAGGCCCAGCCGGGGCCAGGGCCAGTCAAGACGCGGCCTTGGGAGAGCTGAGCAGCCAGAGAGGGACAGGGCAGGGGTCCCTTGGGCTGGCCCCAAGACCCCACCGGTGACACCTCCATCACCACCCACCCTGCTGGCCCAGGATGGGAAGAAGGAGCCACTCCTGGACCCCACACCTGCTGCTGAGGACTGGGAGACAGAGTATTAGGACCCAGAGGAGGGTCCAGCACTTCATCACCCACAGTTTATTTTTTCCTGGAGCCCAGAGTGACTTAGCCCTTAGCCTCCTGTTAACCCCACCCCACCCCCTTCACGTGGTGAAGCTGGGACCTGCCTTAGGATCCCAAGTCAGGAAAGCCCTGAACCTGGACCTCACATCCATGTCCACACCCACGCCTGCCTGCTGCATGGCCTCAGTCCCATCCCCTGCACCATCCCCAACTGCAGCTACACTCCTGAGCCCACCAGCACCTAGGGCTCCTCCAGGGCCATTCCCAGGCCACTCGGGATCCCTCAGCCCTTCCCCCCTGCCTCTCCACACCTCCACTCCTGTCCCCAAACCCACTGGCTCCTTCCCCTATCCCCAGCCCCAGCCCAGTCTCGGCCTTCCTTCCCAGCCCCATTCCCTGTGTGCCTCAGCCCCCCGCCCATGTTCAGCTCCATCTACAGACAGCTGTACCCCAGTACTGTCCCCTGCTGCTCAGGGTGCCCTGCTTGAACAATAAATGGAAGGCTGCACTTCGTCTTGGTGTGTTGTGTGTGCACGCAGCTTAGGCTAGCCCAGTGGGTGCTGTGAGAGGAGGAGGGTCCAGGGAGGGTCACAGAGAGAGGCCAGTGGGGCCAGGGGCTGGGGCAGGAGCCACCTGGATCCCTGCTTCAGCGAATTCCATTTGAGGCCTCTGCCACCTCTGCACTTCTGCCTGCTGGAAGCTGCTGGGCCATGGGGCCATTGTGTAGGGA